CATTATATGGTTTCATCTACATCCTAAAGATTGTGATGTTGGGATTAAATTTTATTCTCCAGTCTTAGAACTCTTGTAACTTTAAAAATATTCTACTCTGGATAGTTCTGTTCAACACAATAGCCACTAGCCATGTATGACTATTTAAATTTAACTAACTAAAGAAAATTGAAAAAATTAGTTCCTCAGTTGCACTAGCCCCATTTTAAGTGCTCTATTACCGCATGTGGCTGGTGGCTACCCTTTTGGGCAGTGCACAGAACATTTCCATCATTCCAGAGAGTTCCATGAGACAGCTCTGCTCTAGACTTTAGAAGTGGGGGCCTCTTAGAAAGTTAGAGCATAAATTTATAAACTTTCATCCACCTGAGTAAGAACTCAGAATCCACATAATAGTCAGAATTAAGGTCCAAGGACATATTATAAATCCATTTAGCGAATTTTCCCACCACAATTATATTCATCATCATTGTGTTCATTCTAAATAGTTTGTGGTCAAGAGTCAGGTATTTTTCAAAATATAATCCATTAGTGGCATGTAGATAGATCTAAATTACTGCAGCATTTCTTCCTTCAAGGAGGCTTTGTATATGAGGAATGATCATGTGTTTTTCACATACATGATGAAACTACTTCCAGAACTACAAACTCTTACAAATTTCCAGTTCATTACACCGAATCTAAATTAGCAGCTCATTTCTCTACCCTCCCCAACACAGGAAGAGTGCAAAATAAAAAAACAAGACCCCCACAGGTCAGGAGGCCATGAACAGTGCCGCATGAGGCAAACAACCTCTCACTCCATATAGCACTTCCCAAAGACTTGGATTCATTAGATATAAAACCACAACAGGGAATTTTCATTCCATTATATCAAATCCTAAAATGCAAAGATTTTGTGCATACCCAATAAGTCTTTATACAAGGAACATTGAGCAATATAATAAACAATTCCCTCCAAGGCAAATTTTATTAAAACAAAAACAAACAGAGATCTTTCATATATTCATATACAGTTTTTGTTTTATGGGTTTTTTCCCCTTTATATAAGCACTTGATGAAAGCCAGGACATTATCTTAAATCACTGGTTCATTTCTATGGGGGTAGTGCTATGAGTGGTCAGAATATTATTGTCCAAGAATACAGCCTTTGGGTGATGAAGCTTAATTACTGAAGAAAGGCAGTGAATCTTGAGAATGAATATTTTATGTGTATCCTTAGATTGGCTTTCTCAGATGCCAGTTTTCTTGCATGGCAGGTAATTCAAACCGAGGTTACCAAGAGTACTTAAAGGGAAGGCATGATACGTGGTTGGCTGAAAGATCAACATGCTCTTGCTTTCAGGTATTGCGAAGACAAAGATGACATAACATCACGAGTTTGGCTGGTAGTCTGGCCTCAATGGGGGCGGCACCCTGCTTCACAGTTTAGTGCCTCTAAGGTACTCAGTCAGATACACAGCTGAAGCCCCAGAATTAAGCTCCATGACACAGAAATGATACTTCCTAAGCCTTGAAAATGTGGAGGCAAAAGTCATGAAATACTTGTTTCTACTAAACAAAACTCTGAGGTTGAGCAAAACTGCATCCTAGTGACCCTACAGGATAAGCCAAACAACTAATGAATGGATTGGTTGCATGAAATTGTTTAGTGTGTCCTATTGTTGTTGCTATAAACCAAAATCAAACTCGTTACCGTCAAGTCGATTCTGACTCATGGTGACCGTATGTATTACAGAGTAGAACTGTACTCCGTAGGGTTTTCTTGGCTGTAATCTTTACAGAAGCAGATCACCAGCCTTTCTTCTGCAGCACTGCCAGGTGGGTTTGAATCACCAATCTTTAGGTTAGTAGACAAGTGTAAACTGTGCCACCCAGGGACCTCTAGGGTTGCTGTACATTGCCTCAAAATAATAATTTATGGCTTTGATACACTTGATACTTACAGTTTCTTACTAGCAGTAATATGTTCTCTTGCTTCATCAGGTCATCCCTAGAAAGTGGGGTCATGTTGTCAAATACAAGAAGATAACTGTCCACCTTTCTGTTACAGCAGGGAAACACACATCCAGTAGATCTAAAACCTACATCTTACTGTCCAGATACCACTTTAAAAAGAAAAGCATGAAGATCATTGGTCCAAACAATTTTGGACAATGGAGGAGGGAAACTATATCATTTGAAGAAAGTTGTCAATGTTTCCTATGATGCAACATTTACATTGCATTATAGGAAACTTATCCCTATGATTGACATTTGAGTATTTTCCAAAGAGATTGATATAATCTTCAATCATGGAGATTTCAACGTGTCAGATTGTTAATTTTTTATCAAAATTAAAAATGAGGCTAAGTAATATGTCATATGGATAAACATTCATTTATTCTTACCCTTTGTTTCCTATTTCTAAATATCCCCAATCCTTGATAAATTATACCCTCCAATATGATTACTCTATTTTTAATATTTTTCATTGTGGACCCTTGTTAACTGCTGTTTATTTCTCTTTTTAATTAATATTTTATAATTATGGATGTAAGATCAGGCATGTTACAAAATTTAGAAATTTAAAAAAATAAAGAAGAAAATTATAAAGACTCATCCTCTCATCCAGAGAAATTGCTGTTACTATTTCAAATATATTTTTAAAAACTTATCCATGTTTTCTCTTTTACCACATATTTACTTGTTGCCCTTAAATATTCAAGTACATTAGTGAGGCTTGATTTCCCATAACAGAAATCATTTGTGCTTTCTTTCTTTCAAATATATTATTATTTTATGTTATTATTATTATAACAGATGTTAAGCACTTACTATGTGTCAGGAACCATGAGAAGTGCTAGTGGGACCATTCTGACCACAGTCACAGTAGATGTTCGCAGATAGAATGGAAGACAAATGTAGAACAAAACTCAAATTCTTGAAAAAGGCCGGACTAACTGGGCCAGTTGAGACCAGAGGACTCCCTGAGACTATTCCCCTGAGAGACTCTTTAAACCCTGAACTGAAACTATCCCGAGATCACCTCTTAGCGAAATATCAGAATGGCACCCAAAAAGGATATTACCTGTAAGTATGGTGCTCTGCTAAAAACTCATCTGTATGAGACCAAAGGTCAAAATTTACTCTAAAGGAAAAATGAGAAGATAAGGGGGCAGGGAAACTGGAGTACTGGAAATGGAACAACCAGAACGAATTAAAGAGAATGTTGACACATTGTAAAAAATGTAACTAATGTCACTGAACAATTTGTGTGGAAGTTACCAGATGGGAACCTAACTTGCTTTCTAAACTTTCCCCAAAAACATAATAAAATAGTATTTTAAGTGGAAGACATGCTAGTGAGCAAAACCAGAACTGGACTCTGCCCTCACAGAGCTTACACTCTAAGATGGGAGAAGATCTAACGACCACATAAATTATTGTATAATTACAGGTTTGATATGTACTCTGAAGGAGAATATTCAGAACTGTGCACGTGAGTAGCAGGGTCTTTACTCCGGTTTGAGATATGTTTGAGACTTCCCAACAGAGATGTCAGATAGCGGTTGTTTACATACATGTTCCACCCAGGGGAACAGTGAACTTGACAATCATCCATGCACAAAGGAGGATGGAAACCATTTTACAAGATCTACTTAGGAGATTCCCCAAGTACAAACTCACAAGAGAAGATGTTTTACAGCAAAAACATCAGAAATCTACCGTTGGTGGCCAGGTAGAAGAGGATGTGCCTGAAAATAGTGAGGCCAGCAAGGCAGGAGTAAAACCCAGAGTGTGGTGCCATGGAGACTTTGGGCGAGAGGGCGCTCACAGAGAAGTTCAAGTATGAGGAAAACTAAAAACTCTATTGGATTTAGTGATCTGGCCACTGATGACCTTACTGAGAGCCTCAGATGGGAGGGAAGGCACACTGAGGTGAGGTCCAGGGGCCACATATAATGAGCTCAGACAACCTCTTCATGCAGTTTGGTTGTGAAAAGAAAGAGATGATTGTATGTAGCCTTGGAACACAGAGAAAGTTTCCTTGTTTGTTTTGACTTTCAAGATATTTAAATGCCATCTTAGTTACCTAGAGGAGCCCTGGTGGCACAGCGGTTAAGAACTTGGCTGTTAACTAAAAGGTTACAAGTGCAAATCTACCAGCCGCTCTTTGGAAACCCTATGGGACAGTTCTACTCTGCCCTATAGGGTCGCTAAGAGTGGGAATCAACTCAACACCAACACTTTTTTTGTTTGTTTAGTTACCTGGAGTTGTCGAAACAGAAATACCTATTCAGCTTTACTTATTGGACATGTTGCTTACTGTGTTTTTAAAATCATAGCTAGGAAGACAGGATAAACTCGAAGAAGATGAGTTAGATTGTTCATCCAACAGGGTTAGTACAAGAGAAATTCACTGCTGTCACACTTACATTGAAAGAGAAAAAGGAGAATGTGAGATGTTAAGGGAGAATATTTAATAGAAGGTGAGAAATTAAGGGAGAATATTTAATAGTGTAATACTATCATTAAAAGAATCAACAAAATTATTTTAAAGCTATGTAAACTAAGCTGGGAGAAGGAATAATTAAACGTAACATGAAATACGAAGTTTTCTCTGAGCAAAAAACAACAGTAACGAATCCAAGTGTCACTTAGAGATATCTGGTCTGTGTGATGTGTGTGGGTAGGTCTGTGTATAAGCTGCAAAGGAAACAACAATTTGATTTGGCCCCAAATTTTCCTAGTTACCCTGTAATTCTATATTAGGATTCCCTGGGTGGCTCAAACAGTTTAGTGCTTGACTGCTAACCGAAAGGCTGGAGGCTTGAGTCTACCCAGAGGTGCCTTGGAAGAAAGGCCTGGTGATCTACCTCTGAAAGGTCACAGCCATTGAAAACCCTGTGGAGCACAGTTCTGCTCTGACACACATGTGGTCACCATGTTTCAGAATCGACTCGAAGGCACCTGGGGGCTTTTTTTTTTTTAAATTCTACTTTGATTTTTTATTTCAGATCAATGGCGGAGAGAAGCGGCCTGCCTCTGACATGGGGAAGAAACCAAAAACCCCCAAAAAGAAGAAGAAGAAGGACCCGAATGAGCCCCAGAAGCCTGTTTCTGCCTATGCATTGTTCTTTCGCGATACCCAAGCTGCCATCAAGGGCCAAAATCCAAATGCTACCTTTGGTGAAGTCTCTAAAATTGTGGCTTCCATGTGGGATGGCTTAGGGGAAGAGCAGAAACAGGTAAGACAGGGTTCAACATGGAGTGGGAATCAACATGATTTGAGAAAATGGACGCAATCTAAAAGAAATTACTTTTGAGCACAGGGGCGAATTCTTCAGTTACTAGAACTAAGGCTGAGAATATGCCCCCATCAGAACCAGACTTTAGGAGACTTTCACATAACTTTATACGCGTTTATTGCTCCTCCATAAATAGCATGTTAGTGCCTTTGTTTCAAAGTTTATATAGCGTAGTTACTTTTGGAAGGACTTTTACATATCTGAGCCAGGATTACCTCATTTCTTAATGTTGCCAATGTGATCATAAAGACTAAAAAAAATCCTAAAAGCATTTTGAAAACTGTCCACACCTCTCTTTAGCACTTACTATTTACCCCTTTGTCATTAAAACCCTCTTCGCCCGTTTGCTAAATGAATCTCAGATTTAAGGGCTTCTACCCTTAGCCATTCCCGAAAGACCACTGGGACATGTTATTCAATCCCTTACATACCATATTTCTAGATTGTGCTAAATAGGACCAGATGCTTGTTTTCTCCTTTTCTGTCAATTGCCATGGTGTGACTGAGGACCATGGTCAGGGAGGACCACATGAGACACTTCTCATCTCAGCCACAGCAAAAGTAGCCCAGAAGGTCTTAAGGAGGAAGGGGAATCATGGGGGCAGACTGAAAGTTCAGTGAGAGGATACAGCCCATCTCGACAAAGAAGCGCTACTGATCCAGTATTTCCAAACCTAGGACCAAATTGCCACTGTCACCATATAGAGTCTTGTGGTCACAAAAGAAAATTGGACCAGCATTGTTATTAAAATACAAATAAAATGCATTAAAATGTCTACGTGGATGCAGCTTTAGCCACTACAGAATCCCAAGTTGCACTGATGACCTATTAGTCTCCCATTTGATTCTTAATAGAGACCTTTACCTCTCCTCATCAGGTTCAGCAAGGTATGTAAAACACAGAAAAGTCTCCAACCTATTTGTACATCTAAAAGTACCCCTATATATTGTAAATATATAGCAACATCTATAATATGTGCAGTATTTTTTACTTTTAAAAGCACTTTTGCATGTTTTATCTCATTTGTTCTACTCAGTACTTGTAGTTATATAGGGAAATTATTATTCCAATTTTGCATATTATAAACAGGGCTTGATAAGTTAAATGCATTCGTTTATTCATTCAATAAAATTTTTTGAGTGCTTATTATGTGCCAGGAACCGTTCCAGGCACTGGAGATACAACAAGACAAATAGTCCCCATTCTGTTGGATGATCTCTCTAAGATTACACTGCAGACACAGAGAATGACTGTGACTAGAACTTGTTGTTCAACTTACAGCTCTGTTCCTAACAAACCCTCTGAAATCAGTGATAACTTTAGTGGTCAAAACCAGTTGCTAAGGAAACAGAAACATCCTCCCAGTACCCTCAAAGCCCCCTTTTCTGCACACCAAAGCTGTCTTCTACAATTTGAAATGTCCACACAAATTCTTATGTCCTCTTCAACATGGCCAGCCCAAGGGAATGCCTTCATGGGAGAGTGCAGACCTTCCGTATGAAGCACTGGGTAGCAGTAGTCATCTTCAAAGACTGGAAACACACAGCGAAGACTTTCTCTGGACAAATATCCATCTCACTATTAAGAAAGTAGTTGGCATTATATGCTGTGATTCTAATGAAAACCTAATGTAGCTGTTTCAGGGTTTTAGAGCTGGTTTCTCTCTAACTTGGATCAGTTTGCTCTCTTTCTCCCAAATCTGAGGTGTGGTCCCCATCTATGCTGGACATTCACAGTGGAATTGTACAGTGACTTCATTCCTCCACTCAGTAGAGCATTCCTGGACGAGAAACTAGTGCACATCGGCCATGAATCCCAGCCCCTTCCTCATTCTCTGGATTCTGTAACCTTCATGCCCCCCCTGCTCTACCCACAATGTCCATATATTAGGATGCACTTCACTCTCTGCTCCAATAGCCCCCTATTTATCTTTGGCTACATGACAGGCTTTAATATTATGGAGTCCCTGGCTGGTGCAAATGGTTAAGCACTTGGCTGCTAAACATTGGAGGTTCCAGTCTATGCAGAGGTGCCTTGGAACAAAGGCCTGGCAATCTACATTTGAAAAATCAGCCGTTGAAAACCTTGTGAAGCACAGTTCTAGTCTGGTACACATGGGGTCACCTTGAGTTGGAGTTGACTCACAGGCAACTGGTTTTTTTTGTTTGTTTGTTTAACACTATAAACTCATTTGCTATGTGAGATTAAATTTCCTAGAGGAGTCACTCAGAAAGCCCTTCCCCTCCCTAGCCATCTGTGCAGCGACTCTCATTCACCCAAGGACGTATATGATTCCTCTCGGAAGACTCAAGCCCCTTTGCCCTACTCAAGACCCAGCAACTGAACTGGGAGTTTTGTCCCCAGGCTCACATGTACCCCCCTTAACATCTTCCATTTTGTCAGAAGTTTTATTTCAAGAAATACCAGTTGCCTGCATCATGATTTATCTAACTCCTCTTGTCTATCTCACTGACCCCAGTTACCATTTCCCACTTATTTCCCACATTCACTAGAGGAACTCATGAGGCTCAAGACCAGTAGCTTTAAAGGCGGATGTCTACAAAGTCTTCCCTAGCCCAGAATTGGCGCTTTACATTATCAATATTAAAAAGTGCCTATACTCGTGTTTCCAGTAGAAAATAGTAATGTTCTTATGATGAAAATCAGGTAGTTCCTCAAAGCTGCAAATATAAAGCAGCATGGTTCTTCCTACTAATTCTACTATTATAAGGCTGTTTTTTTTTAATGTAGTAACAGCAGAAAATTAGGATAGTATTCCACATTCTTTTTGTCTGACCATATAAGGTATTTACAGACCCAAAGAATATGAGATTCTTATTCTCAACTGTTATGTTAGAAAGGGAAATTACTCCCATTCTCCTGTTCCCTTTTCAAATTGGAGTTGAGCCTTTCTATTGTAGATAATGATAACAGTATGATGTAATACTTAAGGATTCTTAATTGCATACATGTGATGACAAAACTTCTCCTCTTTCTCTCTTGCATTTTATTTTCAATTTAAAAAGTAACTTGCAATGAATCTACCTTTGGGCTCTCTCATAATGGAAATAGGGGTTTTTTTGAGAATTTATTTTATAAATAAAGGATGAAATTATGTATTAGTTGACCTATAAATCTCATTAAGCTCCCTGGGTAGCACAATCAATTTGTATTCAGCTACTAACCTAAAGGTTGGAAGTTCGAATCCACCCAGTGGTTTCACAGAAGAAAGGCCTGGCAAACTGCTTCCATAAAGATTATGGCCAAAAAAAAACTGTGGAGCAATTCTATTCTGTAACATATGGGGTTGCCATGAGTAGAAACTGACTCAATGGCAAGGGGGTTGTATATATATATCATTAGTATTATAAAGCAATTTCATGGTGAAAATCCAGTTGCTAAAAAAAGTTATTCCAACATAGGGACAAAACTATGAGACCTAATTATTTAAAAAATAGATAATCAAGCACAACTATACATGCACAAACAGCAGAAGACAAATTAGATAATTGGGACCTCATAAAAATTGAATACTTAAGTTCATCAAAACAGATTATCAGAAAAGTAAAAAGACAACCTACAAACTGGGAAAAAATTTTCGGGAACAACATATCTGATAAGGGTCTAATCTCTAAAATATATAGAAAACTTCAACAACTCAACACAAAAAGACGAGCAACCCATTTAACAAATGGGCAAAGGACATGCACAGACATTTCACCAAAGAGGACAAACAGCCAACCAACACGTGGAAAGATGCTTGCGATCATTAGCCATTAGAGAGATGTAAATCAAAACTACAATGAAATACCATCTTGCCCCTGCTAAAATGACACTGATTTAAAAAAAAACAAAAAAAAACAAAAAAAAACAGATAACAACAAATGCTGGTGAGGATGTAGGGAGACTGGAACCCTTATCCATTGCTGCTGGGATTGTAAAATGGAAAACAGCATGGCACTTCCTCAAAAAACTAGAAATAGAATTACCTTATGATCGAGCAATTCCGCTCCTAGGTAGACACCCTAGAGGTCTAATAATAGAGACATGAACAGACACATACACATCTATGTTCATTACAGCACTATTCACAATAGCAAAAAGATGAAAACAACGTAAGTGCCCATCAGCGGATGAATGGATAAACAAAACGTGGTACATACATACAATGGAATAGTACGAATCTATAAAGAATAATGATGAGTCCTTGAAACAAAACATGGATGAATCTGGAGGACATTATGCTGAGTGAAATAAGTCAAATCACAAAAAGACAAATATTGTATGATCTCACTTTTATAAAAAGACAAGAATAGGTATACATACAGAAACCAACATTCACTGTGTTACCAGGGTTGAGTGGGGGAGGGGGAATCACTCTCTAGACAGTAGACACTTGTTATTTTTGGTGATGGGAGAGGCAACACAGAATGTGGGTGAAGTACGCACAGCTTGACCAAGGTAAATGATGTCACTAGGAAGTACACAAGGAAAAAGGATGTTTTTGGTAAATGCTATGACATACACAATTTTGCAGCAACAACCAAAAAATATATGTGTGGTTACATATGTATGCATATATGTATATAAAAAATCACCCAAATCAAACCCACTGCCATCGAGTCGATTCTCACTCATAGTGACCCTGTAGGACAGAGTAGAACTGCCCCGTAGGGTTTCCAAGGTTGTAAATCTTTACAGAAACACACTGCTCTATCTTTCTCCTATGGAGCTGCTGGTGATTTGGAACTCCTGCAGAGAGTTTGCGTTTCTAACAAGTTATCAGATGATGCAATTGCTGCTGGTTAGGGACCAATTCTAAGAACCACTAGTAGAGCAGTGGTTCTTCAGATTTATTATACGTAAGAATTACCTGGAGCCCTGGTGGCGCAGTGGTTAAGAGCTCAGGCTGCTAACCAAAAGTCGGCAGTTTGAATCC